AAAATTCTCTCAAATCCCAATCCCATTATTCATATAGTTTAGCTTATTACCAATTACCAACTACAATGAAAACATTTTTCTGTAAAAAAAATATATATATATATATGCGTAACCTAATATATATATATATGCGTAACCTAATCTTTATTAGTTTGGATTTGAAATAGGCTATGTATATAACTTAAATATTATAGTTAGCTCTTGTACAATATATATATATACAATATAATGATACATACACTATTTCTTCAATCTTAAATAGTACCATTAATTAGACAAAAAAAAATTAAAAGGATCGATTATGTTTTCGCTTACTCTATCTTCATTGCTTTCTTTATGGTTTATTTTTTCCCAATTCTATTATGGTTACCACAACTACAACATCAACTGACAAATCGTTTGATATCACTTAAATTATAGTCTACATTTACATTTCGCTCGACACCTATGAGATGGAGAGAGCTCTCTTAGATTCATTTCCTTACTTGGCATATATGGGCACCTCGAAACAATTATTCTCCCAATCCAACTGACTAAAATCATTGGAAGAAACATGATGGTAGGCTCAAGATTTGTATATACAAAACCGTGCCACATTTTAGTTTTATTAGTATTTAAGGATAAAGTGTTCAGCTTTTGATTATTGGCTCGCAACCAAAAATTTGTTTAGGAAAAAAAAAAATTGCAAAGAACGTTGATTAGATCTCACCATTAAGAGTATTGTCATAAGCTAACGTTCTTGTTTGACCATCTTATCAATGTTAATTTACCTATTTCAAAGCGTGTTATGGTACATATTTTGAATAACATGATTTATTAATTCGACAACATCACCAACATGACATTAAGCATTGATAATTGTTCACATGTTTCATTGGCTGCTCACCATGGAAGAAACAACCAAAACCCTTTTTCTCCAATTAACTTCTACATACAATCTCGTATTAACAGAATTGTTCACTCACCAACAATTCCGAACTCAAATAATATATTGAAAATTTGTTGTTTAATGGTTTATATTACTATCGTTATTATATTTAAATTCTTACATTACTTATTATTCGAAACATAAAACTAATATAGAACCAAATCATCAAAACATATTATGGAAGTCCTCCAAATATCGAAATCCAAAAATTAATATAAAAACAATTATCGAAGAAAAATCTAAGCATGGTGGTCTTCGTTGTATGGGTAGTCGCATTTGACAATTGAAACACGGCCTTGTGTCACTGTCATGTCACGTGCAAAGTGAACATCCCAAACATTATATTTTTTTTTATCATAACAATTTAGTTATTTACTAGTAATAAAATTCCAAGTATTGAAAGCAAAACAGAATACAAAAGGCATGCAAAAGGTAGTAATCATTCACCAATAATTGCAACATACACCCACCCACTCATGCAAGCTATTAATTGGTATCACATATTTTGCAAACAAAATTATATTCATGGCAATTTAAGTAAATAATTACTTTTCACCAATTCATGATACTGCTGCAATGTTTGTTTAACAGATTAAGATTCTATACTGAGCCTAAAGTTTAACTTAAGTTTATTGATGTAATTGCCAACACAAAGATTGAATATAACTTTTACATGTGTATACTATATATAAAAGAAAAAACAACTTGTTGGTGTTATGATGAATAAATGGAATTATGATGAATATATATAATTATAATAGATCCTAGTTAATGACATAAAGAGAGATGGCACAAGTTAGTAGATCCATGAGAATCAGAAGAAGAATTATGGGAAAAAGAGAACAATTGGTCTTCCTCTCTCTCTCTCTTAGCTAAAAGCCTTTCATCTGTCCTTTCTCCTTGGGTTACCCCAAATTCATTGACTTTCTTCTTAAATTATTACTACCTTGAAACATAAATATGCAAGTTTGAAATAATATCAAGCAACTCAATGTTATCACTGCCTAAAACCGAAATCATCATTACCAAATTTTAAAAAGAAATCATTGTTTTGTGATACATATTAAGTACTTATAACTACTGACTTGTACATAATAATAACAAATTTATGTTATTATTCGCAATGTCAAGTATATATCTTATCCCACAACGCAATGTCACCATTTTAAATCAATGTGAATGAGAATTGTAGGCCACCGGGAAAACTGAGATAATCTACTAATTGTAGTGAAGACTTAAGAGGTAAAACACATTTACGTAAATGTAACTTTTACATAAGTGTTTCTCAAAAAAAGAAAAAAAAATCTTTTACATAAGTTAATTCAACAAAGAAAGATTTGTATTATATTATTATTATATGTTTGTTGCTTGGCTTCTGTCACTCTCTCACTTTTCTCTCTGCGTTTGAGGCAAAGACTGAAACACTGCTCTCGATTACTATTATTTACTGTCGTACGAACAGAAGAGAGAAGAGCACGAAGTCCACAGAATGTCAAAAGCATATATTATTAAACCATCATTACATTATCATTTCAACTTTGGGACCTTCGTACACTCTTTTCTTCCACGTGTCGTAATCTCAACGGTTACATTTGTTGGGTCTCTGCATGTTCTGCCAACCGTTAGATCTGATATTGCCAAATGCTGCAAAGATGTTTTACTGATCAAATAAGAAAGTGACCAGTAAAGTTGACGCTCCTTGTTTTCACCTTCAAGAGAAATCTTTCTCTTCTTCCTTTTTTTATATTCCAAAAAGTTATAACCATACAAATACAATAAAGTTTCTTTGTCAAAATCTGATTGTTTATAAGAAAGATGTAGTTTTTTCGTAAAATTATGGACTTTTAGTGGTTGAAGTAGTATGGTTATTCTGGTACGTGAGATCAACGCAATCAAAATGTTAAATACCAAACTAAAT